CTGTCAGGGTGACAGAGCGCTGGAACAGGCTGCCCAGAGAGGTTGTGGAGTCTCCTTCCTTCTCTGGAGACATTCAAAACCTGCCTGGACACGTTCCTGTGTGACCTACTCTAGGTGGTCCTCCTCTGGAAGGGGGGTTGGACTAGATGATCTTTCAAGGTCCCTTCCAACCCCAAACATTCTGTGTGGAGGCTCCTGCCTGTGGGCAATCCCCTATTCTTAGCATCTGTCCAAAACGCGTCCTGCTTAAAGCTTTCAATTAAAGTCTCTGCAGCTAACTTAGTTATGCAGCTGGATGCCAATGGCCAGTGCGAGCTTCCCTTGTCACCTGGGGTGCCTATTTTGAAGAACACAGGGGGAGAAGAGAACTGGTTGAAACTGGGAAGCCAGCAGTAGATAAAACTGGTGTAGTGACTAGTGCTGAAGGTTGCAATGAGAGGGAATCGATGCCTTTGTTTCAAGGGACTGCGGAGTGAAAATCTCTGTGGCAGAGTGTATGCTTTTGCTTGTCAGCCAGAGCCTGTGCAGCTGTGATGCTGCGAGGAGACATGTCTTGGCTTTGCCAATGCTGCACCTTCAGTTCTTCCTTCCTCTTCTTCCTCAAGCACCAATAGCTGTGCTTACCGCACTGACCTTGCTTCAAATCTTCTTCCTCTGAGCAGGAGACGAGCAGCATGGGGAATGAGTCTTGTGATGTTCTCTCTAGTCCCTACTGACACTTTCCTTGGTACAAACCTGCTGCACAGTCCAGCTCAGCCTGCCTGGTGGTTCAGTTAGAGGACGTGTGTTCCTGGTCATGGCCTCAGCACCACCAGCTACATCTTGGGGTGGGTTAGCAGAGTTTTGCAGCTTGCACAAGAGTGATGAGTGTTGAGCCTGAACTGCACCAAGAAGCAGTTTATGGGACTTTTCTGTGACATGCTTTGTCCTTGGACAGGCTTTCCTAAGCACGTGGCCCATGTGCTTAGAGATGCAATGCCTTGGCAGAGACCCCCAGCAGTGCTCGACTGAGCAGCTGTAATGCGTGTCTCCTCTCCCTCCCCCAGGGTACCACCGTGCGGATGATAACGGCAATCGACCAGGACAAGGGCCGTCCCCGAGGCATCGGCTACACCATCGTCTCAGGTAAGTCACTGGGGGACATGGTAGGGATGTCAGGGACCCCAGTGGGGATGAAGGAGCTAGTGCTGCATGCTTGGGAAATCATATTTGACTAAGTCTCTTCTCTATTGTACCACTTGCCCTTTTAACTCAGCATTGCTAATTACTGTAGCCTCCCCCTACAATTGAAACTTTTACGCTTTGAAAAGTTTTCTTTGCCTTTGGCACTGTCAGAGCACATCTTTCCTGGCATCTCACTTTCTTTGAGCAGTGGACATTATTTCTAACAAATTTGACAGTATCTCCTAGTGAAATCTTTCAGTCCTAACGACGAGCTGTAAACAGCTCTGCTTCACACAACACCATGGAGGAGACCTGCGAAGAGCTGGGTGTAAAACTCTTGCTGGTGGTGCAGTGGTTATTGTTTAGGGAGAGAATGGGACTGATTATGGGCTGAATGGCTCCTCGTGAGTTCCATGGCTTTTCTTGAAATCAGCTGTGCCAACTTCATAAGCTGGGAGGCAGGGGGCCAGACCCATGAGGGTGCAGGACTAGAGAATGAAGCTTAATTAGAGCAGTGGAGGCTTTCTGCCTTCCGACAGCCACATGGATTAATTCTGCCTTTGAAGACTGGCTCTAAAGCCCAGGGAACCATTCCCAGTGTGCGTGGGTAGCTTGCTGAAACTGATGTAGCTGATCATCTGTGGATTCTCACTGGGCAATGCTTGGCTCCTTTGGGTCCGTAGCTTATGGACCTTTTCTGATGGCCAAAGAGACATGGGCAGGGCAGACTGGGCAGGCATTTCCAGGTAAAACATAGCGCATTTTGGAGCTGGACCTGCCTCATTTAAGATGCCTTGAGGTCAGCGAGCCCATGCTATATCCAAGGCAGACTGATGCTCGCTGGGCTGCACTCAGAGGCTGCTTTGGTGGGGATGTGCCCCAGGGACAGACAGACTACTTGGATTAACCCAGGAGTGAGGTACCAGTTTGGTGGGTCTGGGTTGTAAACCCTGCTTCTGGCATAGCTTTCAGAGGGGATCTTCATGGCAAGAAACGGCAGCAATGCCTCCTCTCCCCTCTGTGCCACATGCTTCAGGTGCTGTCCTGCAGCTTCTTAAAGCTATACGTGTGGAAATAATTTCCCAGTTTCTCTTCCTCAAAGCCCAGCCATTTCAAACACTCTTTTAATCAATCTCTAGGGTCAAGGTGATTTCACCCTGACTTTCAAGTCCACTGATCCTGACTGCAAGTATCCAGGTCAGGCTGCCTTTGAAGATGCAAGGATTATTTATTCCTCTAATTCCCTCTGCAATTTATTCTAACATTGCCCTGGCATGAATTAAATGAGAGATTCCCCTAGACTGTGTGTATCAACTGGCCAAAGCGCAGCAAGGACTTTCTTTTGGCTGATACGGGCACTTTTTCACTGGAGACTGGGCTGAAACCTCAAACTAATTTTACAGAGGTCACTGAGCTACTGTGGGGATTGTAAAAGCCTTCAGCTTACAGGAACCTTACCCAGCTCAAAGCCTAAAGATGGTCAGCAGCTGGAAAATGATCCTTGTCCTGTTAGTACATCTTCTTTTGGGCATCTGCTGATGGCCATGGACCCTTTTTCCTGAGTCAGTATGGGTTATGCTGTAGGTATCTAACTTTCCCTTGTCAGCACTGGTGCAATACAAACAGCTCTAGGTTTCCAAGAGCCTTTATTTGATGGCTTAAACCTTCAGAAACAACTGTGCAATCTATAGAGCGTTAATTTGCTAAATGCACCCATCCGCTCACAGTCATGTCAGCCTTTCTGCTCATCTCATAGTCACAGCTGCTCTAGTGAATCAAGGAAACAAAACCTTGGGCCCTGGGTTTTTACCTGGAATGTTCATGCATGCACTTACTTTCAGATTTATCTTTGCTTTTCCTGCAAAATAGCCACAACATCCCTTTGCAAGTGTCCCCTGCTCTGTGACACATTACAGTCAGGCAGAGGGATGGTGGAAGGGGGCCAGACATGCTCCAGGAGCATGGTGGCAGTGAGGTGTGGAGTGACAGGCAGGCAGAACAGCGCAAACAGCCTCATATCCACATGCATATGCCAAGAGCTTAATCCCTGCCCCTGGTCCTGCCTGGTGGGGGGCAGCTCTTGTGTCAGAGAATCAGACAGAGCACATCAAAGAGTGATTAAACTGCTTTGCTTCCCCCACCCTACCCCCCCCCCTCCAAATATGAGAATTGCAGGGTGTTTTCATAACTGGCCAGGGGATTTCTCCTGTCAGCACCAGTGTCTCGCAGAGTGGCAGTGCTGGGAAGGATCAGCCCGTGGACAGACAGGGATGACTGCAGAAACCCACTATTGCCTCCTGCTTCCTCCCCATCCTCACCCTTTGGCTTAAGGCAGAGGTTTCCAAAATACCTGAAGCCAGGCTTCAGGGTGCTCTGCTTCCACTTTGAATTGAGTTTGTTGCCAGAGCCAGACTTCACCAGCTCCCTTCGGCTGCCAGACCATGGCTGAGGTGCATGGCTGAGGGCAAATTTTAAAGAAAACGTGGTCATGGGGTAAGCAATGTTTTTCTGAAGTCAGTAGGGGTGTGAGTGCCTCCCCGACTCTGCCCAAGGCATTCTCTTATACATTCCATGATTCACTTCTTACTTTTGAAAGAAGATGCTACCTTAGGATGTTTGAGAGTCCAGACACAGGAACCGACAGCTAGCGTGCCTCCAAAATCCTGCTTACCCAAGGCAAGTGATTTTTTTTGGCAGGCAGGTAAAGCCTAATTAATTTGTCATTATCCTCAATCACGATGGTAAAGGTCAGTGAGCAGATTTTGTGCCTGAGCTGGTAAATTTTTATGGCAATTTTGCAAAAAACTTGTCTAACATATGGGAATGGGGAAGCAAATTAAATTAGAAACCAAGCGTAAGCAAAAGTGAAAATGGCCAGTGGAGGTAGTAATTATACCTGGCTTTTCATCTAACTTGCAGGAGGGGAGGTGTTGGTGACTGCTGTTCCCTTTTCACAGCAGGGATGGATGATGCCTCTCCCTGGCTCTCCCAGGTCTTGGGACACAGGGCTTGCACATGGCTGGTCTGATTTTACTGGCTGGGGTTGAATATACAGCAGCGAGAGAGCTGAAAAGCAAACTAGCCGTTTATCATTCCTTCCATATTAATATCTAAAGCATTGGTATGATTTGGAGGTGGAGTATGAAAATTAATTTGGAATTGACGGCCTCCTATTCAGCTCCATCCCTCGAGTAGCTGTGCCTCGGGATATGCTGCAGCAGGTCTTATTTATATGGCTATCTCCAACACAAGGTCCTCTCATGACAGCAAAACGCTAGAACTAAAAGATTAACCATAACCACATAAAAGAAGACTTAAGATCTAACTTTATGCAACTAGCTTACAAGGCTGTTAAGCCTAAGGTGACAGAGGAGCACAGATCCACCTGTGTCATGGCTTTGGCTAGTTGTCCTGTTGGGACAGACAAGCCTGCCGCCTGCCTGCCTGCCTGCCTGCCTGCACTGGGAATCATTTCCATATCTTACAGGGAAAGCCATTCAGTTGTTTCTCCCCCTTCCTTCCAACCAGAGTGTTTTAACTGCATGAAAACATGCAGTTTTTTGCCCTGTGCTTTGCAAAGATATCACCACCCTGCAAAAGGCCATTTGAAAAAGAAATCTAAACAGAGACCTTGCAATTCAAGCCAACAGCTCTGTGCTGGGCCTCCCATTGCTCCAGTGGGTGTTTCTGCTTCTTTTCCCAGGTGAAAAGGAGGGTGCAGGCAGCCCATGGCCAGTGCCCTGCAAAAGCCCTCCCTCCCTGGTTCTGCAGCTGCTTTGACAGGTTGGAGATGCTCAGCCACCGAGGTCAGGATTCTGTTTGAAGGACAGATAATTAATCCAGCAAAGTAATCCACAGTTCCTTTTTGGCAGATTTATGGAGATAGCCTCTGTACTGGGGACTCTGCCTCATCATCTTTCATTTCCCAGGCAAAGCGAGTGACTTGTTGTATAACACAACCTGTTCTAGATAAGGCTTTTCATTTAGGGGAACTCTTCGGTCTAACAGAGATTGATTTTCCCAGTGGAAATCAGAGGGTCCCGGTGCTCTCAGCAGGATCAGGCCTGCAGACGGCAGTACGTTTTCACGTTTGCTGCTGCTGCACATCGCCTGGGGCGTGGGGAATCCTTTGGCTTTTTAAGAGAAGGATTTTTATCATGAATTAAACAGCAATTTAATTAATAGGCAGGAGGTGACTTTGGCCCGCAAGCTCTTGTTAGGAAAACGTATTGTATGGCCACAGTCTCAGGCTTTGCTTGCTAGCAGTAAACTTTGGGTTTCATTTATTTCCAGAACAGTCAGGAGAATTCATATGTCCTGGCATGAAGATGTCCTGGCATGTCCTGGCATGAAGAAGGCAACAAAGGGTTAAACCAGGGGAAATGTCCCAGGGCTCTTCAAGATGCCCAAAGGTCATGCTCTGCCTGCCTGGCACATTTCAGCTGCCTCAAGGGCTGGGCAAGGGGAGATTGCATAAGGGCAATCCCTACGTATGTCCTTCCCGGAGCTTGGAAAGCACTGCAGGAGAGAGGGGAGGAAGCGCAGAGCTTTCAGTCAGCGAGCTGGTCCTTAGGGCTCATCACAAACCCTAAGGGTGGTTTTGGATTTTTTTTCCCCAAAGTTGGTTGTTTTAGGAGAGCGATGCTGTTTCTCTCTTCCTAAAGCTGATGCATCCCAAGGGAAGCATGAATTAAAAATCATTATTTGCACAATGTAATAGAAGTATGAGTTACAAAAGCAAGAGGGAAGCATGTCTGAAAAGAATCGTTCTCCATCTTTCTTCTTATTTTCATGCTAAAGAATAAAATACCATATATGTACACCTATATGTAAAAATCAGTGCAGTAGATCTCAGAACGTGTTTCACATGGTCTTAATGGATCTGGAGTTCCCCACTGCCTTCCTATTGAAAGTGCAGCATGAAGCTTTGAGGTGAGGTTAAGTGGCCAAAGAGGTCTCCC